ACAAGGTTTTTAACGAGGCAGTACATAAAATTAGAATGGGTTACTAAACTATGTCCATTTCACGAAGTACTCATCATTAATTGAAAAATAAACATTCAAGGGGGAGTGTTATGAAATTAATGATTGTTCATTTATTCAATTAATCAGGACTAATTTCTAGAATAGTAGATTAAGACACTCATTGATGAGTATCAATTATGTACAGTACTTCCCACTTGTATTTGTATCCATACCAAGGCTCTCCACTATAAATAGAAGCCTAATCCCTGCATTGTAATCATCATTAAGAATAAGAAGAAGAGTGAAGAATTAATAGAGAGAAGAAATCAGAAATATATTATATCTATTCTCATAATCTCTGAGTAGTTTTTCTCTCATTTTATAACACCACCGTTATTGTTGTTGTTGTCATTATTATTATTATTATTATTACTTGTATTATTCTTATTATAGGTTCAGGTTAGGTCGGGTTGTAAAGTTGAACACAAACTGTGAGTTCGATCCTAAAACTTGGAGGCCCTCGTTAATTACGGGCTGGCACGTACCCAAAAACTCAAGGCCAAAAATTTATGTGTTACTCGATAAAAAATGCAATAAGCTTTTGTGATTGGATCAATTGCAAACTTTTTCACATGGAGGTTGCAATCTTTATGAACATGGACAATAACTTTATCTATATAAATTAAAATATATGCCCAGCTCGCGAACTGGAACACAACGGCCAAGCGGGGCCCTCAAGTTGCATGCTTTCGTTTAGGAGCATGCTACCCTCACCTCACTTTGTACCTCATTTTATATCTTAGAGTTTTATTCTGACATAAAATGTAAGTACAACAGTGGCATAATACTAGTTTTGCACTTATATTTAATGTCAGGGCAAAGCCTTATGGTAGAAAATGGGGTACAAGTAGAATTTTCCTTTCGTTTATTACATGTCGGTCCATACCCAAAATCCATGCCCAAGGCTTTGTTGGGTACCTAGACTTGTGATTGGGTCTATTGTGAGCTTATTCATATAGACATTACATTTGTTTATGAACATATACAATTTGTCTAAATAAGTTAATTTACAAGCGTGGCTCATGGACTTAAACATAAAGTTCGAGCATAGCTATCAAGTTTGCAGACTTTAATTTCTTACGAGCCAGACGTAGTTAGATGAATCGGTAGATTCTAGCCACTTTGTACATCTCCCTCTCCCATTGGTCGAGTCACTTTGTACCTTTTTCTTTGGTCGAGTGACTCAGTTGTATGATTTCACTATGTTGTCCTAGAATTTTACAGATAAATTAGATATTCGAGCATGTGATTGAGGGGGTGTTTCTCTGTGATGGTACCTATTGGCTTATTGCTGATAAGTAATTTTTAACTTATAAGCTATTTATAAGCCACATATTCTTTCGTGCATGTAAAATGACTTAAATGATAGATAAGTCATTTGAAAATATTCATGAATGAAGAGGGTTAGTTTTGTAATTAATTGTAAATAACATGATCAAAATGGAGAAAAGAAAAAATTTAAAAATAAGTAAAACCTACTTATTTTTTTGACTTATAAGCAGCTTATAAGTCATATTATAAGTTCCATAAAACATGTCATCAGTTAACTTATAAATTGAAAATTGATTATAAACAATTTTGACCACTTTATGAGCACAGATTAACATTTACATTAATTGAATAACCTATTCAGAAAATTATTTCACAATTCACATGTCTACCATAATGTCACATTTTGGATTTTCTTGTGGTGGTATTTGTATGAACATCTTTTGTACAAAAAAAAAATTCCAAACTTTTTTTTTATTTTGCAGAATTGAACAAAACATGGAGTCATCAAAACGGTCCAAAAGTCAAAAAAGGCAGGTAAAAAATGGAGAGATGATGACGGATGACGTTGCTGCGGATTGGTGGAGGACGTCACTCCTTATTTTCATCCCCTTTCTCATCTCCTTCCTCCTGCTGTAATTCACCGCTCGCCTGGAGTTTTCTGCGTCACTGTGCCCCAGAGATTCATATTAAAAAGCTCAGCTATACTGTCTTCACCGTTTCGCCGCTCCATTTCTCCGCAGCTAGGAAGAAGAAGAAGAAGAAGGAGAAACAGGAAAAACACGAGTTCAAAGGGCTCAGAAAGCTCGATATATGTAGGCTTCGGCTTAGAGTTGCCGGAAAAAGGAATTTGTTTGTTATGTGAGCTGTGAAGTAAGTCTCCGATTCAACTCTGGGATTTCTACTGCGTTTCTGCTCTAGATGTACTGTTTTTTTTGTACTGCGCTAGTAAGATTGGCGTTTGGAAATTCTGATAGCTCCGTCCGTCGGTTGTTTCAAGATGAGTGGTATTTAGTTGAGGTTATACATTCAATTTCCAGTTCGTAAATGCTGGGTTGTATGGATGCCTGAATTCTCATTAACTGTTTGATTTAAATAGGAGTGCTCAATGAACTTGATTCCTTTTGGATGAGTTGAGCAGACATTTTATGTTTTGTTTTTGAATCAGGGACCGGAGGTTGAAATTTGGGTGGTTATGTGATTCGGTGTATATATTAATATGGGTGTTTAGGAAAACTTTTGGTTGGTATATTTGGTGACTGATCTGGTCATAGAAAACTTTATGATTTACAACTTTTTGAAAGTTTGCAATAGGATCAGCCAATGTTGTTCAATAACATTTAGGCTCCGTTTGGTGCATGGAATTCAAACTATGGAATTGGAATTGGGGATAATAATTCCAATTCTGCAGTTTGGTAGCACAAAAATATGTGGATTTGGAATTGGTAGTGCCGAAAATGAATTGGAATTGGAGAATTTAATTCTTTCCAAATCAATTCCATAGAATTTGAACTCAAAATTAAATTCCAATTCCGTCATTGTGTGTACCAAACGGACCCTAAAAGAATGCGTAGCTCAAATTTCAAGCTGTGTTAGCCATGTAAGAAAAGTTTTGAAATATAAACAGGAAGTGGTTAGAATTTGATTAGAAGATATAGAATTAATTCGGGTCATGTATTCTTTGCTAGAAATGGGAAAAAAGTGAAGTGTAAACTTTTTTATGTGACCGATGAAAAAGGAAAGTGTAAACTTCCAACAGGGCGGAGGAGTATTTGATGAAGTTGCTTAAATAAACACAATCTTCCTTAGCAAAGCGAATGATGTGTCGTTACAACTACTAGGCTACCATAAAGTTTTTATTATGATGTACCACTATGGGTTGGCTTGGTCATGCCATGGTGCCATGGTGGTTAAATGATCATTTGTTATCAGCAGGTCTTGAGATCCCCTCCCCCCAGACCCCCCCACGTGATGCCAGATATCCTTATTTGTGTTATGATCAATTCAAACCTTACTCTCTGCCCGCGTTAAACAAGAAATGCACTATCTTCCTGGTACTTATAACCAGATAGCCGTTATTTCAGATCCATGCTTTCTGAAAATTGAAATACCTTTAAAGAGAAGGGCACTCTTTGTGAAGTAAACAATTCCCTCATATACATGAGTGGGATAATGTCATCTGGCGTCAGTTCATCATAGTTATGGAAAGATCTACTTTACATTCAAAATAATTCTGAATTTGAGCAAAATAGGTATGCCATCTTGGAAGTCAATTGCATTTTGACTATAGGTAGTTGGATTTGATGCTTAAAACTAAAATTTGACCTTCCATTCTACTCTTGGTGAAATAATGCTGTTCTTTCATGTTTATCCGTGATATCATTTCTGAGTTTCCATTTCTGCAAGTCCATAGATAACGATATTGTGTTCTGTTTTCCTTAAATTGCAGAAGTTCATACTGTAATGCAAGCCCCAGGCTACAGCTATATCCAGTAATTTGGCAATATACATGATGGCGGATGTCAGTTCAAGGACTGATACATCAACCGATGCGGATACTGAATATAGAAATATGGGGGTATTCAATATTCTCTTAAACATATATGAACAAATGTTCGTACTGTTGGTCGCATGACCTTTTCGTCATTAGTGGATATTTTAGTTCCATATTGATACTCCCCACCCCACCTCCACACACCCACAAAAAGTTTGGGTTTCTTTGTTAATAGATGGTCTTTCAAAACTTTTCTTTTGCTATTTCATGCCTTGAAAACACTCTAAGTCTAGGGACGAAGGAGCTAATACTGTAATCTTCATGTACTTGAAATTCTTTGCAAATTTGTTGTCCAGCAAATTTCATCCGCAACTCTTTGCTTTTAATAACAGTTTCAGAACAATCATGAACTGACAGTCATGGGTTCAGACGGCAGTGATAAGACAAGAGATCAAAAGGTAAATAATTTTTTCACTCTGGACCACTAACTTGAAAGTGATGGAGATGAAGAAAGATGTAAATTTCAATTAGTTGGCACTATAAAATTAATGCCACCAATACCAACCTGTTGGGATTGAGGTGTAGATAATGATGATGGTGATGTGCAGACACTTCGTAGACTTGCTCAAAATCGTGAAGCTGCTCGAAAGAGCCGTTTAAGAAAGAAGGTACACTTTGTATTGCATTATTGAAGCATGTCAATATTTCGTACTCTGTCTCAAACTAAAGGTTCCATATTTTCTTTTTGTTATGTTCCAAAAAAAGTTCCTCTTTAGGCTCTTTCATTTTAAAGAAAATGTATGGTTCATATTTCTCTCTCCTCTGAATAAATCTCAACCACACAATATCAACTTTTACTTAATCTCGGCGCCCAATCAAATGTAAAGCCTTTTTTATGTTTTGAAGGGAGCATTAATTGCTAATTTTCCAAAATTACTCTTGTCAATCTTTTTTTCTTACTTTAAATGAACTTTTAGGTAATAAATGTGGGAATGCAACAAGGGTCTAATGGGAAAGAATGCTTTTAGAGTTTTGACCACTAGAGGGCTTAGATGCCTATGGACTTTGTCAGTCGGGATTATACTGGATTTTGTTGTTTGTTATTCATATAGTTTTTTAAATGATGTTAAATAGTACTACATACTTCATGTCTTTACTGTATTAATAAGGGGTAATATAGTCTTAGGCTATGTTCTCCTCAACTTATTTTTTTACTTATTACTTATTCTTATTGGAATCAGATCAGACCAGACCAGATTAGATCAGAAATAGCTTTAAATCTAACTACATTCAGATCAGACCAGATCTTATTCTGATCAGATTAGAACCAATCAGATCAGTTGAAGAGAACATGGCCTTATAGTCATATTATTGTATAATTATCTCTAAGTTAGAAAACTTTATTTCTTTCTTAACATGTGTGTAAATGTAAAGCTCTAGAAACAGTTATTTGCGAATGGAGGGAGTAGTAGTTATGGGGCGTAATGTGGTACTAAATTTGACTGCAGAATGTTGTGTCATGATGCAGTGGATGTGCAATAGCTTATATCTGAATATGAGTGTCATCAATTCCCTCTACAAGTCTCTTTTATACTCCCTCTGTCCCTAATTAAGGTTGTAAATTGAGTGGAACCTTATTTTAGGACAAACAAAAGATATGTGAAATCTTTTTTCGGGATGGAGGGAGTATATGTCTGCAGAATGTGGAGTATTGTTTTGGATGCCATCCTATTAGTTTCAATGTAAAACAAGAACTTTCTGTACAATTTTACAAAAAGTAATAATCTGTCCCTGTTTACCATTTTTGGTTCATCATAGTTTAGTTTCAGCTGAGTGAAGCTTTTTCAGTTAAGATGGGAAAAGTCATTGTTCTGCATGTTTTTTCCATTTTTGTGTGTAACTAATTAAATATTCGTCTGCTAGTGATGTAAAGGACTATATGAGTGAATTTTCATTCCCCTTTTGGTGCAGGCATATGTTCAGCAGTTAGAGAATAGCAGAATGAAACTTACACAACTCGAGCAGGAGCTCCAACAAGCTCGACAACAGGTTTGTCGGGACTAGTTTCTTCACCGTTGTTCCCTTTTATTCCGCCCACCCACCCATGAGGCAAAACAAGCCTTTGTAGCGGAATAACTAATAGTGTTCATTGGTATTCAACATGATAAAACAAATTTCTTTTTCTGGTGAAGGGCATATTTGTCTCTAGTTCTGGAGATCAATCACAGTCTCTGAGTGGAAATGGTATGCTCCTGTGCTTTTACTCAGACTATAATCACTATATATTGCTCAAATGAAGTTTTGATTTTCCTTAGAAGTTGTGCATTGGTTAACTTATGAAGCTCCAGTGCATTTGTATACCAAATTATAAAGTGCCAAGTATAAGGGCCACAATTCTTAAGCAAACATGATAGTGTCGTAAATGCTTTAAGGAACAAATAATTTTCCATTTGGCTGGAGGTTTCACTCTTGGAGGTTGTTAGAGTATGTGATTTGATGATCACTGACTTTCTTCTAAAAACGTGTAGACCACTTGGTGACCTTGTGCCATTGAGTGGCGAGGTCGCAGATTGATTACTTCCTCCTGCGTAGGTGTGGTATGGTGCTATGCAAGGAGGCTTAAGTAATTTTGAGTGACAACCTTTCAACCCAACATTAGTTACTTGTGATGGATGTCTTTATTGGGTGGGGGAGAAAGAGATGAGCTGTGAGTGGACCACCTCATATCGTTGGAAGAGTTCAGGTAAAGAGAAGATTCCGGATTTGGTTGCTCGAGAGAAAGGCACTTGGAAGACTAGCGTGGAGGTGAGCACATGTAGTCTAAGACTGCTAACTGCATCAGGGTAGTAGCTTTAGAGGTGTTAGGCTTAGGCGCAATTTTTGAAAAAGGCATTCCACCTTGCACCCTATGGCCTGCATTAAGGCTTTTTTCGAGCGTTGAGGCCTTGAGGTTAAGGGCGTATGCTAGATCTTGAGGAAATTACGCATATGGTGGTGAGGGCGAACATCTTGGCGCGTGAGTCATGATGGCATCTTTCCCACCCCAGCTTGGTTCCTCCTCCACAATCTGCAATAATGCTGTGTTAGAGATGATGAGCAAGTGAATTCAGCTACAAGTTGTTGCCAACAACAGCTATGCTCGTGGTTTTTATTCTATTCATTGTTTTAATCCTTCATTCATCAACTTTCATTGCTTTTTTTCATTATCTTTCAGTGCACTAGTAAGTTTGTACTAACTTACATCCACAGTATCACAATTAATGTGTATATTTGATACGCTTACATCCACAGGACCACAACTAATGTGTATATTTGACTTGACAGTCTCTCCACTTGTACTTTGTTTCCATGCATTGCTTTTGTGATCGTCTCCGAGTCTGTGTGGGCCCAAATCTTGTTGGAGAAGCATTTGGCCCAATTTAGTCCAAGAAGTAAAGCTCATGCTTCTCCTTCTAGAATATTGCTTGCGTTGATGCTCCATGTGTTGGCTGCCATAAAGTTTCCATGACCGCTGCGTAGGATAGCTCCCCCTATCATCTTTGAGTTCGTGAATGCTACATTTGTTGAAAGATGTAGACAGTCTTCTGGTGCTTGCTTCCAACGATGGATTTTGACTTTTGTCTAACTAAGGTGTGAGTGGTAAAGATGCGAAATCTGGAACATGTGAGGTGCGTTAGAGGTGGAGATGGCAGGGTTTTTTTTGATGCGGTAAGGTTAGAAACTGGTGGCAATCGGATCTTCATAGCCTTCTGAGTGTTAGAGGGGACATTGAGTCTACTACTAAGATGGCTGGTGAGTGGAAGGAGAGTGGTGAGAGTCATCAAGATTTTATCTAGTGTCGGCACATTAGACAGGAAAAGGTGGTGAGAAGCATTAACGGGATCAAAGGGGGGGAAAGATGGGTTGGTGTGGATCATCAAGTTTAATGTTATTCTCAGGACGACTAAGATGGCTGGTGAGTGGAGGGAGAGTGTACTGCGGTGATAGCATTCTATAAGGGCAATGGTGAGATTCGGAGCTGTGATAAATTTAGATGCATCAAACTACTTAGTCAAACCATTAAGGTATGAGAATGGGTCATTGAGACTAAGTCGAGAAAAGAGGGGAGCATTTTTGAGAATCAATTTTCGTTCATGCTTGGCCGGCCAACCACCAGGGACATTCATCGCTTGAGGAGAATTATGGAGTTGTGTAAGGACAATAAGAGGGACCTGGAAATGGTGTTTATTGACTTGGAGAAGGGATATGACAAGCTTCATAGATAGATCTTGTGGATGTGTCTATAGTATAAAGGGTTACCGATTGCTTATATCTGTGTTGTTAAGGACATATATAGTGGGATGAGAAGTCGAGAACTAGGGGGAGGTCGTTAGGAGGGGAGTCTGACCACTTCTCGGTGGATATGGGACTACATCACTGTTATACCCGAGACCCGGGGTATAATCAAGTTGCTATTTGAAGATGGAATTATGGAATGGTGAAGAGGAAATGAGGGGGACGAAATATGGGGGTGGAACAAAGAGTTGTTTTTTTGGGTTTTTGATGAAAGAAAAGAATAAGTTCAAGAAGAAGAAATGGTGAGAAATGAAATTGGCAGAGGTAAAGTGAAGGGATAAACCAAGTTGGTGTTAAGAGATATAACACACTCTTATCTTAACTTGGGGTTTGAATCTAGAATTCAATCAAGATATGACACACTTAATTAAATATCTAGAACCTAAAACTCACACTTAAGATAACCACTCTTAAGATATAGATTTAGGAATTTAAATAGCAAACACAACAAGTGTATTACTAAATGGAAAATGGAATTACAATATGAGTCTCACAAAATGGCCTAAGGCCGAAATAAATACACACACATAGAGGGGAAACTTCCCAGAAACATCCACTCACAAATCACAAGAATAATATNATTTTCATGGCTGGTGGCTTGTCCTTTAGTGAGGAAAATCACAAGGAAATAAGTGATGATTCTTGGGAAATAATGGGGGACAAAGGGGATGGGTGATGGTTGGTTTTATTGGCCTTATATTGGGTCATTCATGGAAGGTATGTGGGGACTGATTTGGTGGGTGGAGTGTCAATAAACTCACAAAAGTCTTTTGTCCTTTTGTTATTGTTTATCCAGCCTAGGTGGGAGACACAAGGGGGACAATGGTTGGTCAATGTTGGGGAATAAAAGAGGGGTTGTTTTTGGCCCCCCTAGTTTCGGCCTTACATGGGGACAAAGAGGGGCTTGATTAGGTTTGTGGTTTGACATGAGTTTTGGTCTTTTATGTTTTAATTCAATGAACAAAATCATGTGGGGTATGTTGATGGGTTGTAGTTTCGGCCAGAGGGGGGGAAGAAGGAAGAGGAGAGGAGATTAGGGTTTTGGTGTTGTTTTGGATTTTGGGGTTTTGGTGGAGCCATCCAGGGGTACATGAATCACAAGTCTGCCCTTAGTCCTATTCTATTTGCTTTTGGGATGAATGTTCTGACGCGACATATTCAAGGGAGGTACCTTGATGCATGTTATTTGTAGATGACATTGTTATGATAGACGAGATTTGCGAGGGACTCAATGAAAGGCTGGAAATGTGGAGGCAGACTTTGGAATCCAAAGTTTTGAGATTGAACAAGACTAAGTACGAGTACATGATATGTTGCTGCAATGGTAAGATGAGTGAGTCGCAAGTGAAAATGAAGATTGATATACATTCAATGCCAAAAAGGGACAGGTTTCGGTACCTTAGATCCGCATTGAGGATGAGGAGATGGATGGGGGTGTTATTCATCATATTGGAGCGGCTTGGGCAAAGTGGAAGCTTGTTGCAGGTGTCCTTTGCAACAAGAGGATTTCAACAAACCTGAAAGGGAAGTTTTATCGGGCAATGGTCCAACTGGCTATTTTGTATAGAGCAGTGATGGACAGTGAAGAACACTCACGTTTGAAAGATATGAGTGGAAGAAATGAAGATGTTGAGGGGGGATGTGACTATGTGAGCTCTAATGAAGATGCAGATAAGGGTTCTATTTAGATGTCATAAAATTTCCACTAGGTGTAAGGTACAAAGTCGTATATTACTGTACAATACAACAACAGCTGCAGCCAAGTCTTAACCCCACTTTGTTAAATGTGGCAAATCTTGCATGAAAAGGAGAAGATAGATTGTCGATGAGTATAATATACTACATAAAATCAAACTTTCTTCTTTGCTGTTGGTCAAATATTTTCAAATCTATTGTGCAAGATGATCTTTGTCATGGAGTTTTAATGTTATTCCAGTTCAACTTATGATCTCTATTTTGATGTTCATACCTCCATCTTTTTTAGGAGCGTTGGCATTTGATGTCGAATATGCTCGATGGCTGGAGGAGCACAATCGGCGGATTAATGAGCTAAGAGGAGCTGTTAATGCACATGCTGGTGATGCTGAACTTCGGATAATTGTCGATAGCATTATGGCACATTATGAAGACATTTTTAGGATAAAAGGAGATGCTGCAAAAGCTGATGTCTTCCATATTTTGTCGGGCATGTGGATAACTCCTGCTGAGAGATGCTTTCTGTGGTTGGGTGGATTTCGTTCATCTGAACTCCTCAAGGTGAGGGCCATTAAATCATATGGTGTAATCCTTAAGCCTCATTTTACCTGTCTTAGTTGCTATTCATTGGTCAAGTTACATATTCTTTCATACTTAATTTTCTTTAATATCCTCTAATAATTAAATTAAATGGTCATCTACTCATATGCCTACATGTTTTATAGAATCTTTAATGTTCTGAGTATTTAAATATGGAAGTTTTATTTATTTATATGCAGTATTAAATACAAGAGGATCATATTACAAAAGGGAATTGAAAATATATTCAGAAGTAAAGTTAAGAAGTGTTGAAAAGTCAAAAGTTTCTGGTTGATTTTTGTTAGAAGAGAGAAATTTTGTGAGCCACATATTCCTTTCCTAAAAAGGAAATGAGAGAAGTGTAGAGTTCATTTGGGACGGACGGAAAATGAAGGTTTAAAATGCATTTTGGGATAGAGGGAGTATTTTTCGATGGCTTTGGGCTGATAACGTCGAATATCATAGAAATCATGAAAATACCTTTAAACATGGGGATAAGCATAATTTGAGTTGACTTGTAAATAGTCAGCATCCAATTTTCCATCTGAAGTACTCCCTCCATTTTCATGTTCAACTAACTGTTCACTAAATGCAGGTTGTTCACAAATAACTGGTCATTTAGCAATCCAATAAAGTATAGCATAGTAAAATGACTAAGTTGTTCCTCTGTATATTTCTCACTTCTGCATGTTACTTAAAAGCCAAAATGAGTATGTTTGTCGGTTCATGACAAAATTAATGATCACCTTAAAAGTCAAAATATTTCCTTAACAAACTTGAGAATGGAGGGAATATGTATTATACTTCATTTGCGGGTTCTCTCTTTTTTATTGAACTGTTGTGTTTTAATTTAAAAAACATCTGATATGAATTGCTTACAGATGCTTATAACTCAGTTGGAGCCTTTAACTGAGCAACAATTACTGGCCATCAACAATCTACAACAGTCATCCCAACAGGCTGAAGAAGCATTATCCCAGGGAATGGAAGCATTACAACAATCCTTGGCTGAGACTCTTGCTGGGTCTTTAGGCCCTTCAGGCACTTCGGGCTCCTCGGGAAATGTTGCAAATTACATGGGGCAAATGGCCATGGCAATGGGGAAACTAGGAACTCTTGAGGGGTTTATCCGCCAGGTGATCAATCAATTTCTTTTGGTACTCCATTGTGTAATCCCTTAGAAATCGTGGAGTGAGTCCTAAAGCTCTTATTATTCATTTTCTTCATGGTCAACTTAACCATGTATTCAATAAAAAAAACTTAACGATAATCTCATCATTGTGCATCCATAATTTTCACCCTAAGAACTTTTAGTATTTCCTCTTAGGTTCATAAGCTCATCGCAGAAGTCAAGAAAAGTATCCTTGCGGGAAAGTATACATACCGACTGACAAATTTACTAAGGTTTCTCCCTACTTGGAAAGGGCCCCTGAACCCTAATAAATAAATACCTACTTACATATAAAAATCGTTTTCTTTGGAACACTTGGAAGACTATCTAGATTTTGACAACACGTCTTTTGACAACACTCCTCTATGGGATTATACTGGGTTTGTTGTTTTTGTTAGTACTTTTTTTCTATAGAAATTTAGAAGAATGAATTGTTTTCTTTGCCACCCTATTTAGGAGTTCTGGCTAACGTTATTGTTCTATGAGGGTTGAAAAGGTGTATAATAGGCTTATATGGTTATATTGTCCTCAAGACTGAAGGTTTCATAATGCTACCACACTTGGTGTTCATAATGCTACCACACTTGGTGTACTCCAATGTTACATCAACCCCTAATTTTCACACTTCATAGACATGATTTTTCCGTGTCACAAACAAACCCCGTGCGACACATTGACAATGGACAAATCTTGCATGTGAAGTGCAAAAATGGAGTTGGTGTAATTTTTGTCGGTGTACAAAAAGTTTCATACTCCTAATTGGCACTGTGAATTCCATCCATTTCTAGCAAGTAGTACTAGCAGCAAAGTTTTAGTCAAAATACTATAGTGAGGTTCTTGTGTTATAGAAAAATATGCAATTTAGTCCCCGAGGTCCCGTACTATAAAAAATTTGCAATTTAGTCCTTGGAGTCCCTGGACTATCGAAAATTGTGCTATCTAATTCATGCACGCTTGATTTTCTGCCATAGTGCCATCAAATCCTTTCGTCCAATTATGGCGTTTGTTCTTGACATATTAGTCAATGTTCAATCAATCACTGTACTAATAACCTGAGTTTTTGTGGTTGGTTTGGTATCAGGCAGATAACCTGAGGAGGCAGACATTGCAACAAATGCATCGGATATTGACGACTCGACAAGCGGCCCGTGCCTTTCTGGGCATCAGTGACTTCTTCTCTCGCCTTCGGGCGCTTAGCTCTCTCTGGCTCGCCCGACCCCGGGAGTAAAAACTAATTTTTTTGTCTTCTCATACAGATGGAGAAAGTAGAGAGAGAGAGAGAGAGAGAGATTCTTGGAGGCACTTTTGTAAATGAGAATTGTGCCCAGAAGTAAGCAGTCATTAATTCATCTTATTATTATAATTATAATGATTATAATTATAATTATAATTATTATACATTCTCAGTCTCATGGGTGTTACCCTGTGCTGTGTTTTTTTCATTCATTCTGTTTTTCTTTAGAAATAGTTAGACATGATTTGGTAAGTGAACTCTCTGCCTATTTTCACCATGATTTTAGAGCATCTCCAACCATAACATAGCAAACCAATCGCTTTTTCTATTCTCCAATAGGTGTGTTATATTTTAGCAGGCTTACCAAAAAATGGGTTTAACTCGCTAAGAAGATGCTTGAAAGTGATTAATTTTGTGGATTAATTAATTTCATAGGTTGAAAAATTATGCAAAGTATATCTGTTTCTCTAAAAGTGTTCTATGTGTAAAACGTGGTGAAGAAAAGCAGAAATTGGCATGCCAAATAAAGTAAAACTACTACCATACAAAAGAGAAGCTAAATTCTTAAAAGTATCACATTGTCACGCAAACAGCCTCTAAATACAACAAGTTTTCTGAATTATAGCAAGATAAGACTTGTAGAATGGACTAGCAAGTCATAGTTGGAAAATGGAACTAAAACTTGCTTGCTTGTAGTCTATACCTATCGACTTGTGTTCCTTTAGGTTTTGTTGCTCAAATATTTATTTCAGAGGAATAAGAAGCCATTTGTAAATGGTCAACCAGTTAGATTCAAAATGATTTAAAAGCCTACTTGACTGGGTCTAGGCGATGTGCTAGGTTAAGATACTAAAAACACACTAGAGCTTGAGTTTGACCGGAAAGATTGTAGGTGCGAACACTCATAGTTTAATTGTTACTCCCTCTGTTCCGTTTTAAATTGACTATTTTGACTTTTGGGCATATTCAAAGAAAAGAAAAAATAGAATTGATTTTTCGAAATTGTCATTACTTTTTAGGAGTGACTATGAATTAGAAGAGAAGGTAAAGAAGGGTGACTTATTTTAGAGTTAGTTTAGATATTTTATTTTTAAAAGTTTACGATAACAACTAACAGACAACTTATTTTGGGACAAAGAAAAAAAGCAAACAGACAATTTAAATTGGGACAGAGGGAGTATTAGAATGTAGGAGTATTACAAGGTAGTGTTGCTCAATATGCTTTTAGAGGGGAAAATCTGATTCCTCCAAGTGAGGGTTACAAGCATATTTATAGTAAAGCTAGGAGACATGAGGGAGACTCTGACTCGTGAGCGCCCATGCCTGGCCACGTGGTGGGCCCATGACATGTTCTTGAGTTGATGCTTCTTTGTCCTGTAGCATTTGTTCCTTATTTTTTGGCGTATATCCTCTCTTCTTGTTTCCTCTTGTCGTGTAATACCAGGGAGGATGTTTCTGGATAAGCTCGTTGGTGCAGAGAACCTAGCCCGACCAGGTCACCTCTGTTGGGCCATTACCGTGCCAGTACACCGAGTCCTAGTTCTCTACCCGGGCGGTCTCCCGAAGGTATGTCCTGATGATGCCATGTCGTTCGGACTGGTCATCCAGAGATCAACCGCGTAACCTACGTGTCTGGTCGTCTGTGAACCCTTCCAGGTCATCCTGTCACGAGTCCTTTAGACTTTTCCCGGTTGGATTTGGTTAGACCCATCACATACCCATCTTAAGTTATACTAGTACTAACTTTAATAACTATTTAAATAAAAGTATTACTCGCGGTAATATGTGAAGTTTATTTCGGGAATGAAGACGTATCACATTTTCAATTAAATGGACGTGCCTTATGTTAGTCATTGTGAAAATTTTTTATTCCACTGTTAGCTATTTTCGTAAGGACCATGCTACACTTACACAGAAATTTGTTCCCCAAACTTACACCAAAATTATATACCAACATTTTGATGGTTCACACTAACACAAAGTGTTGGTGCGTTAACAAAAATTAGCATTACACAAACACAAAATGTTGGTGCATACCTGCAGTGTACAAATGGGGTACAAGTAGATTTATCCTTTCCGTAATTGGGTTTTTCTTTGATTACAGTTCACGATGGGAGAACTTGAATTTGGTTAGCAAAGTATATTAAAAAGAAAAGCGAGGAGAAAATAATCGGTATATAAGATCTTGAATTGAACGAAGTAATTTAATGGATTCAATCTCTTAATGTAGTTCAACCTAAGTGTCTTATTGCATAATCTAGTTATCCATACTTCATTCTTAATTCTATCATGGTATCGGAGCCAAGTTTAGTCCACCTCGTGTTTCAAGGCCGTCTTGAGGTTCATCCCTAGCGGCACTAGTATTTAGCACATTTTTCAGTGTGGAATGTATATCCAATGGTCCGTGGCCTGTTTCTCCCGATTGCTCATCTGGAAGTCCATACCCAGCGACTCGTGTTCCTGTAGGTGTTGACACTCAAAAAATAAAATCAAGGGGATGTGAGTCCACTTACAACTGGTCAACCGGTTAGATTTAAAATGGTCCGATTGTCCACTTGAGGAGACTATTAGAGATTATCCCACATTGAAAAAGTTAGGAGAAAATAATCAGTATATAAACTCGAGTTAAACCAAATAATTGGTTGGATTCAATTTTTTAATGTGGTTCAACCCAAGTGTCTTATTGTCCAATCCAATTATTCCCACCCCATTCTTAATTCTATCAAAGTATGGTAAAAAAAATTACTCATATAATTTATAATCTTTTTAAAAACTAATACATATGAAGAGATTACCAAAAGTTGGGACCTCATATAATTTATCTATTTTTAAATTTTTTTGAATGTGATTGAAATGTATTTAGAAGAGAAGAATAATTTATTGCTATCCTTTTTTACTTTATACTCTCCGTCCCTCAGTATTTGTCCAGTATTCCTTTTTGGGTCGTCCCACAATATTTGTCCACTTTCTTTTTTTAGCAAAAAAATTGAATTATTTCCCCACTTTACCCTTCTAATTAAATTCCTATCACTCACTCCCACCGTCCATTTGTATTCTCCCACCCACTCTGATTTATACTTCCACACCCACCTTGTTCCCAATATCCTCTCACTCCTCTGTCTCCATCGCCTCAATCTCAATCCGAAATAATAATCTCAACATTCGGAAGAATAATTTTTGCATAAATAGACTCCGGCAAAATCTTCTCCTCATCACCCCGTCCCCATCTTCATCAGGAACAATCACTTGTCTGGCCGGCTTTACGATGTTCTTCGATGGCAGAGACAAAGTTTTCGATTCCTACCAATGAAGGGCGACTAGTCTAGTTTGAAGACGGATAATGATGAAGATGGAGACGGGGTGATGAGGAGAAGACTTTTCCGGAGTCTATTTATGCAAAAATTATTCTTCCGAATGCTGAGATTATTATTTCGGATTGAGATTGAGGCGATGATGAAAGGATATGTTCTTGAGTCTGATGACCCAAAATTTTCAGTTGGGGATAATGATGAAAATTTTCACATTTCTGAGTCCCTATATTAGATGAAATTTCTCACATTTATTTCTTGATTTAAATCCTTTTTTTGTTGATGGGATAATACCACTACAAAAAGCAAAAGAGCTTTTTTTTACCCGGTACTCCGTATTGCTCTTTGGCTGTTCATGAAATCTCTCTACTTTTTCAACTCTAAGGGTATTCTTGACATTTGCCTACTTTGAAAGTGGACATAAACTGGAGGACGACGGAGGGGGAGTATTAATTTTTGTATGCACAATAAATCTTAGTCCCACACATATGGATCTTGAACGAGTGTGTAAAGAAATTCAATCCATGTCTATAAAGATAAAAGAGTTGTTTGTGATAACTACTCGCTTATTTACAAAAGACAAGTTACAACAATTTAATAGATAAAAAAATCTCCCTATGAAAATACCAAAATAGAAGTCCTAAGTTTTTTAAAACCAAAATAGGAGTACAATGACAGTATGATGTAAGAATACATATTTGCAATGTGATGAAAAAGTGATGACAGTGTAATATATCGGTGTGATCGTTCAATCGTCGCGATCCGCGGCGGCACTCTGGTGGCCGGAGGCGACGAATAGCAGTGTGGTGGTGATAGTGTGACACTTATAATGTGACAACGTGGTAAGTTTAACAATGTAACAATGACAATGTGAACTCCCTTTTTGGCCTCAAAAGACTTATAACTTCTATTTTGATATTTTCATAATTTTTTACTCTATCTAGGAGTTCTCCCATTAAAAAACATTAATTCTTTGTTGGTCTTAAGGTTCACACTCATTTTATTGACCTTAGTACACAAACATCAAAGATGAATTAGACTCTTTGAAAAAACAAAAGATCTTCATGTCGGTCCAATAAGAGTGTGAGAATCTCCACTGTTCACATGTAGATCTTAAGATCATGGAAACACAAGTGAAAAAATGAAATTAAGAAAATGAAGAAATTATATGAGCACTTGTACCCTAGTTGCGCCTCTAAAATCAATCATATAAAACTTAAATTATTGATCAAGAACAAGTATGAATTGTGATGAATTGTCGAACTACTTTTTATGACCAAACTTGCGAGAATGTTTTATAGGTGCGGGGAAAGACGAAAAACCCCGTTCGCGACTATCCAATGATCGCGTCTAATCGCGCGAGAATAGTAAGATGCGCTCCTTCAAATTTCTTTATTTATCGAATCCAAAAATTAACACATCACTATTTTAACACTTTTTTTAACTCAACAATTTTTAACACATCACTTGGACCTCGCAGGGCCTGCTGCCCGTTGAACCCACTCTTAGGAGCAAGGCCTCTGAACCCCTGCCAAGGGGGCGTTTCCCCATCGGAACTTCTGTTATATAATTAGAGGCAAAACGAGACTTTTATCATAACAAACTTCAAGAAGCATGTACTCCGTACCACCGAGTTTCTTTGATGATTTTTATGATAACAATGGTAAAATAATCATTCCAATTACACTAAAATATATAATAGAGTCAGGGATGGGGGCATGTGCCCCCCTAGGCGATTCTGGCAAAGGTACTTGATGGATTAGGGATTTTTCCTAATCCAATATTATTTGAACAGTACAAGAAAGCCCAATTTTATCTGGCCCAAGATACAAATTAGATAAATTATCCAAGACAGAACCAGAAATATATGGACAGAAGAATATATTTGAAGTGATGTGGAGACATTTGGCGGGACCCGTAGAACACTACCACATGAAAACCACATGGCGCACATGGGCTTCACATGGACAATGTCTCTTCTTGTCTCCACCAATTATTCCCTTCCCCCCCCCCCTTTAAATGAAGTGACGAAGAGAAGGGAAAGGGGGCCAAGGGCAAATTCCTACAAGTTTCACTACTATTCTTCATTCTTCTTCTTCTTTTAGCTTTGAGCTCCATTAATGGCTCCAAGCTCCTACAATGATGTATATGTAAAATCCTCCGAGATTAATAAAAGTTCCTTCCCATTGGCATGGCACCGCCTAAAAAGGCCCGTGGTTTTCTCCCGATTTGGGTTTCCACGTATAAATACTTTCTCTCCGCCTTATTTATTTATTTATTTTCTGGATTTCGTTATTCGGTGCGGTGCCGACCCGGTACCGATTTCATCGGGTCGACGCCCCGAAAAAGCGGTTTCCATCATTGGCGCCACCCGTGGGACTCGTCACAAAAAGCTTTTGTGCTCGGAGTCCGTAATAGAGAAAAAAAGTGGATTGAGAAAGTAAAAAAAAGGAGGAGGGATACGAAGTGAGAATCAAGAAGAAGAAGAAAAATTGAAAAGTCAGAGAAGGAGAAAAGAAGAGGAAAAAGGGAGGAGTGGTCTTCTTCACAGATCCGGCGACAAGCACTGACAGGCCTTTGGCGAGCACGAGCACCGACGAGCAACTGGGGAGCCTCCCTTCCTTGAGGCGAGCCGATCCAACACTCTAGCGAGCAACTCCCGGTCCTCTCCGGCGAGCCCCTCCTTCCGTCGGTCCTCCACCGACGAGCCACTCCTTCCGTCGGTCCACAACCAGGTCCAACGAGCCTCCTCCTTCCTTCGGCGAGCTATAGGCAGCGACAACGAGCTAGAGTCTGGACCGCCGGCGAGTCGCGGACCGCGGGGATTTTTCCGGCGAGCAGCGAGCAAGCGACAGGGCCGCCGGCAGTACCCTCCCCCAGGGTCGGTGAGCATCCTCCCAGATCGGCGAGCCCTCAAGCGTGCTTCACCTCCGGCGGGATCCAGTGGCAAAACACAGCCCCTCTAGCATCGACCCAGCGGTGAGCCATACCACTAGCAATTGTCCACTCCGGCGAACCTTGGCCCGGAAGAAGCGAGCTCCAACTTCCTCCGGCGTGGCAGCAGCCGTGATTGCTCCAGTTCGTCCATCAAGCTCCCTCTGCTCCGGCAAGCCTCATCGACAACAAGTGGGCCTTCATCTTCGACGAGATCCGGCGAGCTCCGACTTCCTCCGTCGAACCACGGACGGAAGTAGCGAGCCCCTCTCTGCAGTTCTCTCCGCGGTCCTCTCCAGTGGACCGCTCCATCTTCATGGCTCCTTCACATGGACGGATTTGGCTTCTAGTGGACCGCTCCATCTTCATATGTCCTTCACATGGACAGATTTAGCTTCCTGTGGACCGCTCCATCTTTATATGTCTTTCACATGGACAGATTTAGCTTCCTGTGGACCGCTCCATCCTCATATGTCCTTCCCATGGACGGATTTGGCCTCCAATGGACCGCTCCATCTTCATGGCTCCTTCACATAGACGGATTTGGCTTCTAGTGGACCGCTCCATCTTCATATGTCCTTCACATGGACAGATTTAGCTTCCTGTGGACAGCTCCATCCTCATATGTCCTTCCCATGGACAGATTTGGCTTCCAATGGACCGCTCCATCTTCATGGCTCCTTCACATGGACGGATTTGGCTTCTAGTGGACCGCTCCATCTTCATAGGTCCTTCACATGGACGGATTTGGCCTCCAGTGGACCGCTCCATCTTCACGAGTCCCTCAGATGGACGGATTTGACCTCTAGTGGATCGCTTCAACTTCATGAGTCCCTCAGATGGATGGATTTGGCCTCCGGTAGACCGCTCCATTCTTCACGGGTCCCTCAATTGGACGGATTAAGCCTCTGGTTTTCCGTTCCAAGTTGTATAAGTTGATAAAAGTAATAATGTAAAAGAATAGAAAGTAGAGATCAGTAATTAGATCAAGTTAAGTGATCGGATTACTGTAGATAGTCATAGACTCCCGTACCGAGGTTGAGGAAAGATAGGATAAGGAAAAGGATTGGGGCTTAAGGATGGGCTGAAGCCCAGCCCATTAAGAACAAGCTACCCAAAAGGAAGGAATCCTATAAAGAGATTAGAGTAGGCCCCCCCTTAGTCCGAGGGACAGGGACGAAGAGAAAGGTGGACGGAGATTGTCTATAATTCAATAAGAGTGGAGCGCCCAACCACCGTCAGATAGATATCGGGTGGGGGTTTAGAGGCTCCCAAAGAATATTGAAAAAAGAGCCCCGAGAAAAGCCCTCTTCCCAGAGGCAACGAATCCCCGAGAGAAGTCCTCTCCCAAGGGGTACCGAGCTCGAGAAAAGTCCTCTTCCCCGAGGCACCAAGTCCTCTTCTAAAGAGGCACAAAGTCCTGAGAAAGTCCTCTCCTAAAGAGGCACAAAGTCCCGAGAAAGTCCTCTCCTAAAGAGGCACAAAGTCCCGAGAAAGTCCTCTTCCAAAGAGGCACAAAGTCCCGAGAAAGTCCTCTTCTAAAGAGGCACAAAGTCCCGAGAAAGTCCTCTTCTAAAGAGGCACAAAGTCCCGAGAAAGTCCTCTTCCAAAGAGGCACAAAGTCCCGAGAAGGTCCTCTTCTAAAGAGACACAATCCCGAGAAAGTCCTCTTCCAAAGAGGCACAAAGTCCCGAGAAGGTTCTCTTCTAAAGATGCACAAATCCCTGAGAAAAGTCCTCTTCCAAGAGGCACCAAATCCCCGAGAAAAGTCCTCTTTCGAGAGACACTAAGTTAAATCCTTACCCACGAGGTGACGAGACCCTCCAAAAAAAAGAGGTCCTCTTGCCGAGGTTCCAAGAAAAGTTTTATCCCATAAGGCAACCTACCGTGTCATATAATTTTGAATCTGTCTCGTTCCCCGAGACAGACTCAAAACTAGGGGGGCATGTGATGAATTAGGGATTTTTCCTAATCCAATATTATTTGAACAGTACAAGAAAGCCCAATTTTATCTGGCCCAAGATACAAATTAGATAAATTATCCAAGACAGAACCAGAAATATATGGACAGAAGAATATATTTGAAGTGATGTGGAGACATTTGGCGGGACCCGTAGAACACTACCACATGAAAACCACATGCCGCACATGGGCTTCACATGGACAATGTCTCTTCTTGTCTCCACCAATTATTCCCTTCCCCCCCCCCCCCCCTTTAAATGAAGTGACGAAGAGAAGGGAAAGGGGGCCAAGGGCAAATTCCTACAAGTTTCACTACTATTCTTCATTCTTCTTCTTCTTTTAGCTTTGAGCTCCATTAATGGCTCCAAGCTCCTACAATGATGTATATGTAAAATCCTCTGAGATTAATAAAAGTTCCTCCCCATTGGCATGGCACCGCCTAAAAAGGCCCGTGGTTTTCTCCCGATTTGGGTTTCCACGTATAAATACTTTCTCTCCGCCTTATTTATTTATTTATTTTCTGGATTTCGTTATTCGGTGCGGTGCCGACCCGGTACCGATTTCATCGGGTTTACGCCCCGAAAAAGCGGTTTCCATCAGTACTCATATGCGATTTCGACAAAGGTATCTTCTTTATTTTCAATGATTTCTTCGCAACAATAACCCTTCCAAAGTTGTCATCTTGCCTGGTTCCGCTTAGACCTGATACAAATTATTAACCCATTTACACGAGCAGACCTGACCCCGTCCGGGTTTGATGGGCTAAATTCTTTACCCATACCTGCCTAACTTAGCGGGCCAAACTACCCACCGGGCCGCCCGGCCCAGATAAAACATCAAGAAAATCTTTTTTGCACAAAAATAAAAAAAATTAAACTCTTTTTTGAATGTTTAAATTTAAATCACCAGTCACCACATTTACATAAAAAGACTATTGATCTTTGTTTAAGAGAGGTGAATGAATTGAACTATTATACATGAATTATACGGAGTAAAAAAAATTTAAAATTTATATTGGCTAGGTAGTTAATAAAAAAGTAAATGTATTTGATCAATATGGGCAGACCTGTTGGCTCGGATTGGCTTAAAATAACTTCCAAATCCGCCCAAATACAATTCGGGCTTGAGCCGACCTGCCCAGGTTGTCCATATCCGCCCTTTTTAAAGGGCGGCCTGGACGGGCCAGACAGGCCGACTCTTGTTTGAACAGGTCTAATTCCGCTATTATCAATTTGTTCTCTTTGTCCGATTGGTTCTAATCAGATTTTATTAAAAAGTCTAATCTGATAGTCTCATTTGATCTGAGAATTTGATTTTATTATAGTAATGTAATTTTATACTATTGTTGATGTGGTCTATAAACTAAACCCTAAACCCAACAACAATTATTACAATATCTTTTTTTTTCAATGATAAAAAAATGAGAGGTGTGCATTTCTGCGTTCTGGCATTCAAAGAAAAGAAATCGGACATGAATGGTCTCCGAGGTCAATGGCGAAGAAATTGCTGGTGCCAAAAACAATATCCAATTCTGTACATAAATTAAAAATATTCAGATTATTAAAAAAAAATGCTATACATATTTATATATGTATTCATTTTTATGTATACATATGCTTTAAGCTGAAGAAGAGCCATATTTTGTTCTTTCCTGTTTGCCCTGCCATTCATCACCGGATGGAGGTAGGCTCACACATATATCTATATCTGTGTGTGTGTATTTATGTGTATACGTATGTATGTACGTATATATTGTTGGGATTGCGCATACCTCACCTCAATTGGTTATTAAGGAGATACCCAACGAATATATGCTACGTGCGTGCCTGTGTGTGTCTAAATCGGGTTGTACAGTGATTTGTGTGTGTGTGTCTGTGCGTGTTTTTGTACGTAAATGACGTATATATGTTTGTATGCGTGTTTATATAAACGTAAAGGTTCTAAGGATGCTTTCCGTTCAACTTATTTTTTTAGTTTATTACTTATTCTTTTTAAAATCAGGCAAGATCGGGAGGTAAGAACAATCAATTTTGCGATCGGAGCACCACAGGTGCTCCAATTGAGTGGTTGCAAGATTACCCCTCATAAAAATTCTTTGGAAAATGCTAGGGGTACACCTGGTGTACCCCAAACATCCCCCACCCCCTCCATCACCACACAAAAAAGGCAAGAAAAATTCAAAAAAAAGTAAAAATAAAAACAAAATAAATTGAATGGTAAAGAGGTGGGGTGGTGTACATTTGGGGTACACCTTTGGTGTACCCCTAGCATATCCCAAATTCTTTTGGCAACAATAAAACATTAGACCAGATCAGGGGACAGGAACAATGAATTTTAAAGATCAAAGCACCACAAGTGCTCCAATTGAATTGGAGCAACAATGTTACACCACAACTGAGTTGGTGCAAGATTACCCCTCGTAAAAATTCTTTTAGCAACAATAAAACATTACACAATTACCCCGGAGTATTAAATATGCACACATCAATTTCATAATGTATATGTTTTGAATATATGCGAAGAAATAAATATGCGAGCACAATAATATCGTTGCACCTAGGATGATTTCTTGTCTTATTATTATGTGCATTTTTTTTTTGCAGATACACATTGTTGCTCACCTCAGACTAGTCGAATCATTAACATTAATGATCCGATTGCTCACCTCAGACTGGTCATAACTTAGGCTTTCCTCCTATGTATTGATCAATATGCATGGCCAAGGGGATATTGATCAATATAAACAACGAAAATGCTACTTTAACCTTAAAAGATGACACTAAGATTGACACTTTTGATGACATATATAATATTACGTAGAGTTTCTATGATTGTGAGACGAAATAAGTATCGTCGTATGCTTGGCAAGCGCTGAGAACTGGCTAGCTCAATTAATCCCAATGTACTTATGAGTTTTTAGTGTAAAAAATATTTTTAATTCAATTTTTTCAAAAGTTGATGTAAAAGTATAAAATAAAATTTATAAATTTAAAAACTATACCAAAAATGATCAAAGCAAATATCTAAGAAAAGAAAATGTAACTAGATTGTTGTATTGTAACAGATAATCAAAGGAAATAAATACATAAGAAACAGAAAATATTATTTGACCATGTAAATAATAACAATGAAGCTTTTTTAGGAGAGGAACAATATTTAGCTGTTGCCTAGGTTCGAAATTGCATAGGTGAATATGCATAGACCAAGTTAGGATGGCCCACATTTTTTTCTTTCCAACCAAACGAACAACCAAATTTAAAATATTCACCCACCCTTTTTTTCTCTCAAAAGAAACACACCCTATGCATGCATGCACTTATAGGATGACTAAACAGGGAAGTTTTTATGCAAAATGCAGAGAAATGGGAGGACAGCCGTACCCAAGTTTGGAGGGTGGGACGACAAGTCCGGGAACAGCCCCAGCAATTACACGGTGATGTTCTCTGAAGCTCGAGCAAACAGGAAGCAGCAAAAGAAGGACTTTACTCGCCACAGCCTCGGGAACGAGCAAGAGCTTCGTGCCAAACAGCACCAAATGGAGGTGGAATCCGTGAGGGTAAGAGACTTCTCGAGCCTCGGCTATCCCCTCCTTTTGCACATAAATAAGCACAACCCTTCATTTTTTGCATCCTGACATATGAACAAAAAAAGGAACCTCTGGTTTTGTTATGATCCATACCCCCTTGGTCAAATGCGTATGGATCATACCAATGCCAGTTTCTATTCTCTGTGAGCATGTTATAGTACCTTTGTCCTAGTTTTCTTCTATGCAATACGATTGGGATAGTGACCGTGAGAAAGGGTAGAGAATCTTTCCAGAAGGGTTGGTTAGTCATGACATGTGACTTTAGGGTTTTTCCGGAGATATGACCTTTAGATAGGAACGCCTAGAGATCAGGGATTGCACTAGTTCTGTAAACCTTTGGGCTAATTGCTCGTGCTTGTGAGCTTTCTGTGCTTTGGGAAACAGTGCTAGTATTGGTGTGTGTGCTCACGTGTGTCTGTGCTCTTACTTTGCTCGTGTTACTGTGTTTACTTTATGTGTTTCTATGTTTGGGTTGGAGGTCTCTTAGAAAGAACTTATCTACTACTTCCAAGTAGGGATAGGGTTTTCGTACACACACCCTCCCTAGATCCTTACTTTTTGTGGGATTTACTGGGTTGTACTGTCGAAAATAAAGGGGCCTGTTTGTTTGTAATACTTCAGTATTGCAAATAAGACTTTTGTTGCAAAATGTGGAATCACCCACTCGAGTGCCCGTGCCTCCACCGTACATCCCAAAGATTGTGGAGAAGATGCCCAGGTACAAAGCATCCTCTTGTGTGAGAGGAACCTTGCAGCAAAGCTGCCATCCAAATACCAATTCGGCTTATGCTTGTTGCCCGTGAAGGTCAAATAGGACTCTTTTAGGGAGGGAAGGTGTATCATTTTTAATACTCCCTCTGTCCCTCCCTCTGTATCTTAGTCACTTTGACTATTCACAAGGTCACACTATATATTTTTTCCTTAATATTTTCATTGATCATTTGTTTAAAATAGCATAGCCATTTCATGGCTTCTTGTTTTGTAGAGCTTTTGATCTAGGTTTTAAGTATATTAATTTTATTTTGTAATTCTACACCAATATTTAGATAAAATAAGTTGAAAGTAACTTTAATCAAACATCGTAAACCTTAACATGGCAATAAGGCGGGATGGAGGGAGTACTAAGAAAGGTATTAAAAGAATGCCAGACTTCTTTAACATTTCAGCATGCAGGTTCTATTATGATCCATCTCCCTAAAGTCAAAGAAATATGAGTCAGAATGTGTCTATATTTTACAAAACAATTTTTTTCCGAATCGAACATTTGAAGTCATGTTATATTATGATCCATATCCCCTTGGGCAGATTCAAATGGATCATAACATTATGCATTGATTCTTGCGTGAATGCTGAAATTCACTTTTTAACATTTTAGTATTTACACATGCTCCATACGGAGTATAACATACTGTATAGTTGTATCACATGCAAATTCCAGTTTTATTGTGCATCTTATGTTTGATGTTTCATTGGAAAAGAAAAGAAATTTCACAAAACACACATATCCTAGATAGATATGTCACTATCCCCCGGGTGAAAGCCACATGAATTTAAAATGCTTTGGAGGGTTGGGGGGAGGGGATTTTTTACTTTCTATATTAAAAGCTGCTGTAAACTTGCCTGGCTGAATGGCTATTTCTGAGTTGCTTTAAACTTTCATTTTTGCAGAGAAAAAAGAAGTTTCTCTCACTCTTTGTTTGTGGGGGATCTCATTAAGGCTTGGCATTCAAATCCCTGAAAACAAACCTTCAAACCGGAAAATACGTCTCCGCCTGTCTTTTCTTTACATCGAGCAAGCACTCTTAGTCTTCCAACAGATGTAAAATATCACATTTTCTCCACAAACAAAAATTGTATGATCACTAAGGCAATGGCATGTGGAAGGAGCTAGTTGTTTTGGCAATCACAAAAAATATTTCAGTATATCTGTGCCTTGCAAATCATTCACTATTCTAGTAAGGTAAGATATGTGCTATATGCTAGTAATATGGGTTGAGTTGGGTTGGTTTATATATGTTACGAACCTAATTGGGTTGCTTGCAAAATTTTCTAAAAACCCGCCCATCACTTGTGCGTCCATACTTGTGAATTTGTGATTCTATCTAAACTCCATCAATTTGTGATCATAATAAATATCTACTAAAAGTGATTCTTGTCCAGTGCAAATGGAGCTTGAGGAGTCACTATTGACAATGTTTTACTTTCGGGCACATGATGGAATAGAAGTTTTGCACAGAAAATGAAGCAATGCATCTAGGGTCAAACGAAAAGAGCCTCACACGTAGGTACATACATTTGACTCCCATATCCCAATGGAGTTGGGGATATATATCGACTAACAGGGTAATAGCCATTTATTTCCAAGTGAAAGTGTCTCACGAATGCATGTAGGGTCCACCAGTCCAAGAAACTAACTATTCAAAGACGCTTTAGATGTCGAGGTCATGTGGGACACTATGTACAATTGTACAAATCACATATGTGTGTATATAAAGACACATATTCTATCTAGAAGTTCTAGATCAATGTGTGAGACATCTAATAAATGTGTTACTTTGAACCTGTCTAACTTGTTACTCTATATCGTTTGACTGGAGCTCTGAAGGATGAGATGTGAGCGGCATCTGATTTCTCTATCCCATCAAAAACATAACTAAATGGTGCCATCTTAATATACTTCCCAGAACCTGGAATGACATTCAGCTCACCATTTTCCCAAACTATCCTTCCCTGAGAAATAGTGACTTCAACTTTTCCCTGCATGGAAAAGGAAAAAAAAAGGAATGAAGCTTCCCGGGTGAAAAAAAATTAGTAAAAGGCTCTAAGGGTGTGTGTTGACTACTTCACTGTCGAGTATGTGAAAAAAGTTCTCTACTATATTTGAATTTAGTATGTGTGAGGTAAATCTCATTAAGGATTCATTTTGTAGGGTGTCAGCAACCTTGATGTTTCCAGTCCCATTTGGCTAGGGGTGTGTGTTGACCGTTGAGTATCCCAGAGCTTAGGCGGGGATTTGTGCAGATTACTTGTAGAGATAGGCATTCTGAACTGCAATACATGACTAACATTTCTCTAATTTTATCCTACAGTTTCTGTATTCCTGGATCCCTTTTGCTGTTTATGTTGATACGTTTTTTAGCATTTACTCGTGTCACCTTGAATTTACAAAGAAATTAGGACGAAAATAGATCTATTGGCTGCAGTAAAATTCTAATTAATTTTTGTCTAGACAATAGACTTGGTAAATTGTCCGAAAATACTTGCCTTGCCATGCCTCCCCTCATAAACATTGGTATCAGATCTGGAGTGGTGGGAACTGGAACTAATTTCAAAACTTGAATTAGGGTTCAATATGATTATATCAGCATCTGACCCAGCAAGGATTGCTCCCTTTCTTGGATATATGTTGAAAATTCGCGCACTGGAAAATAAAGGCATCAGGTTGTTGAAATTAATAATCCATCAGGATGGGATAAGGATGCAAGAAGATGAGAACAGTGTAAAGGAATGATGTCAAACTTCAAACTTCTAGGTGCTGCACTAAACGCTGTAAGAAAAATGATTGAAAGATAATAGGGCGCTCCTGATTGTACCATTCTGTGCTCGTGAAGCGAACATAATCAGTGACAGATATTTGACCAGATGCCTGGGACAACAGTCAAAATACATAGAGAACTTAGAGTTTTGATATGAAAAGGTTTTGACAAACTTCTAAACCTTGATAATCGGCCAGTAGCCTATAAATGAGAGCATACCACCATAGCATCCCAAACTAAGTGCATCCTCTCCTCAATACCTAAAAGCAATGCAACTTATTAAGATTAGTTTTAGAAATTGAAGCACAAAGGTGATCACGACATATGCGAAGAGAAAAGATACATACATGCAAAAAAGATTAAAAGTCACATTACCGTTGACACCATTTGGTATTTTCCGAAAGTCATCAATTCCAAAGGCTTTCTGAGTTGAATTGAATGTACAGTGGTCAGTCCCAACCAGCTGCACAATTAAAGTCCATTAGCACATGTGTTTTTGGTAAGTGTAGATTGTATTCCACTTACAAGATTGAAACAATCATCATAGAAAATCAATGCTAAGTGATTGACTCACAATTAGCCTTGACATGTTTCATTTTTTTTATTTACCTTTCCTTTCAAAGAGTTGTCCGTTTGGTGAAATTATTTAGGGATCTTTTAATATTTGACAAGAGTCTTTGTTTCCTTTTGAAGTAATCACTTTTAGTAGACATAAGTCCCTTTGTCAGAACATACAAATCACAAGCCTTTTAAAAATTTTAATTTGATGGGAGCAAGGAAATTAGAAACCATTTCCAAATTTATGCAAGGTAGGAATAGTGGCATAAATAACTGCCTCATTGCATATACCTGTAAAAGGCCAGTTGAAAGTGCTGCTTGAAGAGCCTTTCCATGCCCTAGTGCTCTAATAGGTGGGCTCATGACGTATCTGGAGTAAAAGAAAAAAAAACATAATGACATTTTCCTTCTTTTTAAACTTTAAGATAATTATCTCAGTGAGGATTTTGGAAGAAAAAGAGCTACTTGGCTGCTGTAGTAAATTCTGGGTCCCAAAGTCCAGAATCATCAAGAATTAATCCTGAAACTACCGGCTCCCCAATGACTCTTTGCCCTATGATACAGGTATTGCAATAGGGTAACAAAGATCAGATTCTGAATAACCTTAAACCTTCATCCTCATTGGAATTGGATAACATAAATGTTTGTGAAATGGGTAATTGAAATTGTGATGACATATATCAACAAAACCTAACATCCTTCCGTTGAGTGTTAATAATCTTGCCAGATGGTTAAGACAGAAAAGGAGATGAAAAGAAGAAAAACATGGAATAAAAAAGAATGACGCTCCATTTTACTCTTAAATATAAAACATCACTAAAAATGAATGGTTGAACAAAGATCCAATTAAGAAATATTTGCAGTAAATAGCACTAAAACTTAAGTCATTTCTCTAAATAGCACTTAGATTGTTTTCTTCCCTAAATAGCACTTAATAATGTCCATAATGACCAGTGATGGCAAACATTTACTTGAATAATGACTAAAAGTGCTACATTGGGAAAAAAACATATGTAGTGCTATTTAGGGAAAGTCATTATGTTTTAGTGCTATTTACGTAAATTCCTCAAATCTTAACATTTTTTCTTAAGAGTTCAGAACCCTATAAAAACTAGTCAATGTTGCTATCAATATATAGCAAATGAGAAATTGACAATAACTCAAGGAACAAATGTCAAAGAAACAACTTGCTGACAGATAAGAAGCCCAGATGAGATGCGAGGTGGCAGAAGGGCAGAACTCTCAAACAAAGAAATGGAAAACATTGTGACTGAAGGTATATGGAAGTGTAAGTCCAGGTTCCAAATATACGTATGTAGACAAGTTCACAAGTTACAAATGTGATCTTGATGTTTCTTGAAACTTTGGTGTCAAAAGAAGTTCAACCTAACTATATGTGGTATGTGGTGGCACCAGGACACTGGATACCAAGCTCAGTCTTTAATCTTCCACAAAAGCTAGCGCATGGGTGGAAGCTTGGCATTTACTTAAGTTCCACTCCATTTGTGGAGGACCTGATGTGGGCTCATAACAGTATGTTAACAGAAAGCTTATCGCTAGGTTCAAGTAGAGGTGGATTTGCATGGTCATATCGGTGATAAGTCAGCTTAGGGATCTGAAAGCGTTAAGTTAAAATGATAAAAAGCTTAAGAAGTCAGTATCTTTCAAATAACCTGATTTCCGAGCTCTAGCAATTTCCTCCATTGCATTGATGCTCATAACATGAACAACATAGAGAGGTGTATTGATAAAACCAGCTAAGTGAATTGCTCGAGCTGTAGCTTCCCCTTCTATCTGCATTATTTGTTCACTAATATATTAATAAGTTAAGTTTGAGCCATGTAAAAAAAACAGGAAGTCAAATATAACACACTTAGAGCATCTCCAAATCTCCCATGCTACTGGACCCATTTAGTTTGGTTTCTTACACACGAGATCCAAATTTTGGAATTTTTATAGGGCCCACAAAAATGAAATCCCTTTAGTTTGGTTTCAC